ACAAAGGTGTACAAGTTATAGTGGAATCAAGAAAGGGTGTGAAAATAGAAGCCAATTCAAAACCAAGAACGACAGACTCTGATTGGTTTAATTTACAAATACCAGATTCACCTGAAGTAAATCAGGCGACGAAGAATGCGTTGCCATCTGACAAAATATTAGAAACAATAAGATCTCAACTCCATGTTGAAATATCAGTACAGACGGAAGATGGTGATGAAATGGTTTTAGAGTTATGGACTTTGGAGTTAGATGAGGCACAATTTGATACATCTTTAAAAGCAATGAATACAGTGTATTTTCGAATGGGTATACTCTTAAAATCGGTGATCACGATCAGCAGAATAACACCAGCTTATCATCTCTCAAGGAAACAGCGAACAGAGTCTTTTACTATATTCTACAGAGTTTATAATGGTGAACCAAAAATAAAAGCATTGGGTGACTCGGTTAAGAAAGTACAAGCTGGAATGCTTAAAACACCTTTAGGTGGATTATGTTTTACCGTATCATATCGTACTAATTTCTCTATATCACCGAATACCTCGGAAAAGAGTAAAACGTTAATTTTAAAAAGTGATCATTTCGAATTGAGTCCGAAACATGTTATTTTTGAATCTAAAAAGACGAGAATAACAAAAGAGAAAGAATCAAAACCAACAAAACCTGTTGATTTGAACAAACCGTTACGTTTAGCTGCGTTTGCTGATGAAGTGATTATACAGAAAGCAATTAATGAATTTTTCGAGAAAATTCCAATACCAAAATTCAAAAGGTATCCAAGACCAAAAACACCGATCAAAGACAAAGCGATGGAGTCCAAGAGTACACAAGATTTGGATCTTTCAGTTATGACCAAAAGTCCGACATCATTAGAGTTACCTCCGAAGAAGTTTTCCGGATTCCGTGGGGAAAATGAACCTCCGTTGAAATTGTTGCATTTTCCTTTTGCTGATAACCATCCTATACGTGAATTGGCGGAGTTTTATAAAGATTTCTTCAATGCGCCACATTTAAAGTTGACAGAGCAACAAGTTAGTAAGGATATTGATGTACAGGAATTGGAAATTGGTGAGGATCTATCCAAGGATTTGGAGTTATACGAGAGTTCGGTTCTTGAGTTTGATGAACTGCTGGCAGATATGTGCAGGTCGGCGGAGTGGAGTGGTAATTAGGAACAGTGGTGATGGGTGAAGACTGAATTGTAAAGTTTTTAAATAAATATTTTATTTCTCTGTTAAATGAAATGTGGTATACTTTGACTGTGGGGTGTGATTTTTGAATTTATCTAATTCTATTGATTTTGTAGTTTATAGTCTAGATTTAAATGTTTATTATAAAATTATTTAGTTTAGATTTACACGGTTGACAAAAATAACATCCCTGAATTTATTTCCTAAACATTCCTTATGATTAAAATTATTGGTATTGTAAATATTTTAGATTGCTATAATAATTGGTTCCTATGTTTAACATTAAAAGATGTGTACAAAATACCTTAAGCCATACATATCCATTTTTTTTGCAAACATAGACTTTTATTAAAACGTTTTCTCTTCTCTCAAGTGTGTCTCTATTTAGTACAGATAATTAAGATTTGCAACACAAGTATTGTTGATACAAGTATCATTTTATTGAACTTTCAAGTAATTTGAAATATTTGTAGTGTATCTTACAATAAATCTTTTATTTGCCTGCGTTGTACGAAATGTTCAAAAATTTATTACGATGTTATGAATGTTGAATCGTAAAATATCATTTCTATTTACAAAATAAAGTATTTTATAATTGCCAATGTACATTTTATTTTACCTATGAATCCTTAACTTATAATGACCATCACTCACATCGCATCATCATCAACAAGCTAAGGACGTGTTAGAAATAAAAGAGTGCTAAACTAAAAAGAGAGGAGGATTATTAGGCAATAACAGGAACGTTGTTTGCTCGATATAGAAAGCAAAAGTCCTTGGTAAAGCTTATTACCAGCAGTTATGATAATGGTTTTATAACTCAATTCAACTTATATAATTTATTTGCAAGACAGTTCATTTTGATTTGCAGAAATATTCCTTTTTATTTTTTATCAAATGTTATTATTTTAAATCTTCGACCTGAAAACTCGCTACAAGTGTTTATCTTTAATCTGTATTAAGTTTCGTTGTCAATTGTCACTGTCACTATAATGCCAAACATTTTGTATTGTCAAACAAAAGTTGTTCAAAATAGTTGAAAAGTTAAATGTTAAAATATAAAACAATAGGCTTAGTATAATAAATAAATTGTGCTACTACAATAATTTCGTATAGATAAGATATCGTTCCTACGAATGAAGTAACTTAGTGTGTTAACCTATAAAGTTTGTTGTTTGAAAAAATGTTTTCGATTTGCCGGCAAACTCATCCCGCAACGGGAATTGAGCATGCTGTTAGCTGTTGTTTCTTCAACAATGATGAGAGCTGTTTGGTTACCGCCGGCGCCAATATAATCAAAGTCTTTCGGCTGGTACCTGAAGGGCATACGAAAGAAGTTAACGCTGGTAAGTTGGTGTTATAATTCCTAGAATTGACTTCTATCTAGTTACTACACAGTAAAAAAAATATTTAAATCCTTTATCCATGTTTCTATTCATTAAATTTAAAAGTAAATCTATTTAAAACTTATAATTCCAGCTGGCCAGCCTATACCACCTAAGATGAAGTTAGAATGTCTGGCAACATATACATTATGGGGCAATGTAATGTCCATAGCATCAGTGAAATGTGTAAGTGCAGGGCGGGATATACTGCTGCTATCATTCAAGGAAGCCAAGCTGTCAATAGTACAATATGATCCACAGATAAATAATTTAGTAACACTCAGTATGCATTACTTTGAGGAGGATGATATGAAGGTAGGTTTAATTCTATTTATATATATAATTATGTACCTAGATTAAGAGAAGGCTCTGCCTCCTGTAATACAGGTCCTCACCTAGCTCAGGAAGTAGAGCCCAATGATTATTGTGCAACTGGTTTGATTAATAAAATGTTTTTTTTTTATTTATTTATTTCTAGAAATCTAACTGTGTGTTTCTGTTGGGTTAATTCTAACCCAACAGAATCTAACCTAATCAGAACCCAATCAGGTTATAACAAAAATAATTAAATGGGTGGGTTATGGTAATTACAGTTAAGCTAATTTAGTTGAGTTAATTTGAGCTTGTTAATTAAGTTTGTCAAGGCTTTTTTAGATTCTTAGGGTTTTTGACACATTTTTTTTTATAACTATATTTGTTTTACAATATCCTCTTTGAAGGTTCTTTAAACTGTCTACTTTTAAAATTATTAAATCTATTTTACTGTTTATTACTACATGTTATGCCACTATTAATACTATAGTTTATATAATATTATTAAATTCTAGGGTGGCTGGACAACCCATCCCCATATCCCATGGATACGAGTAGATCCAGAATTCCGTTGTGCTGTGATGCTATTGTATGGGAAGAAGTTAGCTGTGTTGCCGTTCAGAAAAGATATCACATCAGAAGAAGGAGATCCACTGGAAGCTAAACCTTTGGTTGATAGTAAAAAGAATGTAAGTAGTACATTTCAATAGACAAGAGTTGATATTTTCAATGCTTATATTATAAATTAGTTGTTATTTGCAAGGGCGGATCCAGCTTTGCTGCCAGTCGGGGGTCACATAGTCATGGTCAAGTCAATAGCTTGACAAAATATGTAAATATATTTTGTCAAGCTCTTGAGCAACCAGGTCAGGGAGGGTAATGACCCCCACAACACCCTTCTGGATCTGCCGTTGGTTACTTGCGACTTCACCTGCATTCATTTTAAAAATAATAAAAAAACATAGCCTATGTTACTCAGTGATAACATACATTTTTATATGTGAAAGAATTTTTCGAATCAACCAAGTAGTTTTTGAGTTATTTCTTTTTTACTTAATTTTTATAACATTAGTATGGAAAGAAAAGATTTGGATTATATGTATTGAAGTAGTTTAAAAACTACTGAGTTTTTTTCTTATTCCAGCAACCAAATCAACAAATAACGAAATCGCCAACCCTAGCATCATATGTGATAGTGCTTAAAGATCTAGATGAGAAAATAGACAATATTCTAGACATTCAGTTCTTGTATGGATATTATGAACCTACTTTATTGTTATTGTATGAACCAGTAAGGACATTTCCGGGGTAAGTTGAACATACAAATTCATTTATTTATTTAACTTTGTACTAGTTGTCGCCCGCGACTCCGTCCGCGTGGAATACAAAAAAACAAAAGTGAGTAGTCTGTGTTCTTCCAGACCATCCTCTACATCTATATCAAATTTCATTGAAAATCCTTCAGCCTTTGGGCTACAAACTTTAACAAATACCATCCATCTAAACTTTCGCATTTATAATATTAGTATGATAGATGACTGGTAGTGACAACTGTCAAACTGTATTAACAGTGGTAGTGCCCGCTTTCACATCTTAGCACTGCAGGGCACGCCCCCAGCAATACCACGACCACACAGAAGACAGGCGTAAAATAGAAGCAATTCCGTGTTTCGTCTGATGAGTGTGGTGCCGGAGGCCTAATTTTAGTCCCTTTCTCTTTACCACCCATTTCTTATAAGGAGAGGGAAGG